TTTATAGAATTAAGCTATATAATTGGAAATAGTTCAATTCTACTGTCATATCCAGTTAAATTAATTTTTAAGTTATGTTTGAATGAAACTAAAATAATAAATAATAAATTTCACATTATAGGTAGTAATTGTGATGTTAATTTGAATGTTTTTAAACTTTTTGCATTATATTTAACGTCTTTCCATTGTTTGCATTAAAATCATGGGCATGGACAGATTTAAAACTTTATCATAAACTCAGTAAATAGTGTTTCGATCTAAAACTAACGCTCTGATAAATTTTCTTAAAATAAAACTGATAAAAATCTGAGTAAAATGTCGACAGTGAAAGTGGAATAAAAATATTTGCCTATAATTTTCACGAAGCGTGTTTGAGCAACGTATCGCAAGCAGAAAGATAAATCTACATGTAATTATTGAGTCGAGTCTTGGTACATATACTTTTATATATATATAAATATATTTGAGTTGTTTGCGTAGAGGAAAATTAATTACCTTTATACTTAATACTGAAAACTTTTAAACGTATTTTGCATTACTTAACATGTGATTCCTAATATTTGTTTAAATTAAAAAACGAATTAATATTTAAATTGAGCATGAACCAATTATTTCTACGTGCGTCAAAGCTTTCAAATATTTAAATATACTGAAAACGGGTAAATAATGATAAAGCTAAGTAGTTTGTTTTTTGGTAATTTTTCTAACTAATATATACTACATAATTTGTATTATCTAATATTTTATTCACATTTATTCTTCAATATTCTTTTTTCTTGTTGTTTATCTTTGTACCACCGAATTAAAAGATTTTTCTTTATATGTATTTTTATACAATAATATTTTTTTATATGTGCTACATTTTTGGTTCTTGGATAGAATTAAAAATTCTAATATTTTCTATTGATATCTTCGCAAGTGCGAAATACCCTTGTCATAATAAAATAATTATATTAATTCATTCATAATACATTTATCACATATATTCAGATATTGAATGCCATCTTAAAAACGTATATTAAAATTTCAAATTCTCGCGGGGATATATATGTATGACATATAACACGCCGAAGTTCAATATCTACGCTATAATTCACTATATTCTACGCTGAAATGGGCATCTAAACGCAAATAATTTTTAATATACAAGATGCAAAAATTATGTAAAATAATAAAAATATAAAATAAAATTGTAATGTATTTAAAAGAAGCTTCTTAAAATATTTTTCAAAATAAAATATTAAAATAAACATTTTTTTTTTTTTTGAAAGAGTAAGGCAAGTGCATTTCCTTTTATTCTTTAGGGCCAGTTTTACCAACTCCGGTTAAAAGTTTTACCGACCAATCATGAGCAGTTAAATTGGCTTTAATCGCTGATTAACTTTTAACCATATAGTTGGTGAAACCGGCCCTTAAATTTATTTAATTATAAAATTGAGGGGCTGGATTCCGTAAAGGTGTTATACGAGTTCGCGCAGCCGTAGATTCGCTATACGCGGTAACTTTCATTTTTACGCTTAACACCTTATAGAATCCAGCCTCTCAATTAAAAAACGTACTTTTTAAAATTCCCACCATTTTTGAGTTGATGGTACTCTTTAAATTTGAAAAAGTCAAGTTTCACTTATTAAAAGTTATAAGTTGCTCTCTCGTTCACCAACTACAATAAGTAAATTTTTCACTTATTTTGTTTGAAATTTCACTTATTTTTAGTGTATAATATACGCTTATTGAAAGAAAGAACGACATATAACTTTTTACAAGTGGAATTTCATTTATTTATATTTATTATTGAGTAAGGAAATTAATCTATTTTTAACTCATTTTTGGAGTTGATTTTTAATTGAAAAAATTTTATTCTCAACTTGAGTTGTCATTAACTCTCTAAAATTTTTACATTGTAAAAAAGGACGGCAAACATATATCTTTTAGAAAAAAATATTTGACAATATGTGACAGTCCCCGAGAGAAGGGACCTTAGCTCACCAAAACGAATTTCACAGGGCAAGCGTTTGAAGAAGAAGCAGAAACGCGGAACTCGAAGAGTGGGGCGGAACTTCTGAAAAGTTCCCCCACCACACTAACACAACGTTGTGTTTCTGTATACGTGAGCTTCGTCTACTTCGTGTATCTTCGGGTCTCACGTACGCGAAGCTCACGTACGCGAGAGTATAGTTGTGTAAGTAAAGTAGTGGGGCTGATTTCTTGAGTGCCACAATCCGCCTCGAAATGCGCTTGACATACCCATCTTCAAAATGTTATTGTGTCAAAAGCAATTATCCTAATCAGTTTTTGACTTTTGCATGTGAAAAAGCAATTCAAAATCTATCATTTACCATATAAAACTCAATATTGACCTCTGGTGAGCTAAGGTCCCTTCTCTCGGGGACTGTCACATATATAATCAAATCCTTTTAACCCTCTGTCTACGCTATAACTTATAGCCACTCTAGCCGCCACCAGAGGCGACCGAATTGTCATTTTTTGTCGATAACGGTCAACTGATTGTGAGTAGGCAGAGGGTTAACTAATTCACATTAATTAAAATAATATTTTACCTTATATGAAGTAATAAAAATCTTGTTTTTTTAAGAAAAATTCTTTTAGAAAAAGAAATATTCTTCAAACTGATAATAAATTTTTATTATACATTTTATAAAATATAAATCCGGCTTTAAACTTGTAAAATAAATTGATTTATTTCTTAAAAAATAAAATTGCGGTTTCAAAATACACGTATGTAGTAAAATAATGTACCAAATACTGCGTTGATATATAATATTAAAATATCCATAAAACATGATGTGTAACCGTATTTCCTTAAAAAAATTACTTTATCTAAAACTATTCTAAAGACTAATCCTTTCAATACGTAATAAAAAATAAAAATACAGATAAGTTTTGAATTGATGTATAATGATTCCTTAGGTGCGAATTTAGGTTGGACGCCAGAGTTTGAAAGTTGCCCCAACTTTGGCAATTACAAAGGCCTACCCGAGGCGAAATTTAAGCCCTAATTTACAAGGAGTAAAGTAGAGTTAAACAGACCCTCTTTAGCTTCCTCAACTAGTCGCAAATTTCCCTTTCTTCCACGTTTGGATTTAAAGTAGGGTCTAAAAATTGATTAAAATATTGAAAATTTTGAAATTGCTCTAATCCTATTAATTTTTTGAAAACGCTTCAAAATATGTTAATTCCAGTTTTTAAAGGGTAATTAAAGAAATATTGTGTGAAGAAAAAATTCATTTTGCTTTAATCAAAATAATTAAAAGAGTTTTTTTTTGCATTTTTTTGTACTTTTTTAATCGAACTAGACCCTCTTTAGCTTCCTCAACCAGTCGCAAATTTACCTTTCTTCCACGTTTGGATTCAAAGGAGGGCCTACGGGAGTCTACAAGATCGTAAAGAGGGCCTATTTAGGTTCTAAGGGAAGCTAAAGAGGATTCAAATTTCGCCTCGGGTATGGTTGGCCAGACTTTGGTAACCAACCAACCATGGTATGCAGAGTTTCGCCAACTATAGGGACAACTCTGGGCCATGGTTGGCCCGACAGTTGGCACGAGAAGGTAGACCGAGTTTGCAAAAGTTGGCCTAATTTTGGGCCTACCAAAAATCCTCACCTGGGTCGTCATACGATTTCTTATGAGTGTATAAATTTTAAGGATAAAAATGTAAAATTAACGTGTTTTTGTTCTTTTTTCATAATTATACTGTATAAAAGACTTATAACATGTCCTGCATTGTCAGAGAAATTGACCTTTATAAAGTGCAAATTGTATACAATTTGCACTAGTTCATGTCCCAGTAGATTAGTTTTGTTATTAAGCTTTCTACAATAAGTTACCTATTGTGGGTTCCAATTGTAAATATACGTCCATGCATTTATTGCATATATAAACTCTTTTAAGTATTATTATAGGTAAAACTATGCTTTCTCACTATATAGGACTTTGATGTTTCATAGTTAGTATACCAAGAAAACGGAAAAGTAGGCCTTCAGCGAAGTTCGTTGTCATATGCGTACATTAGACTAGTATACATACAAGTTTATTGCGAGCGCCTATATGTGTGTATGTTCTACCATTATCCTTCCTTTGATGTTCCTACTCAGAGAATTGATGTAATTTAAAAAAAATACTGAAAACATTACACTACAAACATTTGTTAATTTTTTTTTGAAAGTACAGTTTTCCCTAAATCGTAAAAAATAGTAGTCATGAGTGGACCACGTTTTGTTTTTCGTGTATACACTGAGAAAACTATATGTTTGATTCAAACATATTTTGTTTGAATTAAACTTAAAATGTCTTTGATATACAGTCAAACGTATTTAAGTTTACTTTAAACATATTTTTTGGTCGATAGAATAGCATATTTTTTAAGTTGAATTCAAACATATTATAATTTTGATTTGAAATATGCAGTTTTTAAGCATATTTTATGTTTAATTCAAATATAATTTTTCTTAAATCAAACAGAACATTCAAACAAATAATATGTTTAAATTAATATGGTAGATATTTTCAATATATTAAATTTAAACATACAAACTGTGTTGAATCAAACAAAATCATTTTAACTGATGTTTATGTTTGAAACAAATAATTCTTTTTCTCAGTGTACCTAAATTTTTTTGGAGTTAATAATTAGCTAACTTCAATACACCGTTGGATAGGTAGTGAGAAAAGCTGCAAGTTAAATGTATTTAGAATTTTTTTTTACTGTCATGGAAAAATTTTCTGGGTGTTTATTCCGACTATTTGTTTTTGTAGTCCTGAGTGGACCGCACCCAGGAGAAATCATCTCAAAACTTTTCAAAATTCATTAAATATCATACAATTTAAATATGCATTGAATAATTATTTATTTAAAATACTTTTTAATAGAAATGATAAAAATCAAACATTTTACAGTGCAAAAAGAAATAACTTATTTTAAGATGTTTTGGTAGCGTTTTTAAGACATTACGATGTTTTAATGTCTTGAAAACGCTACCAAAACATCTTAAAATAAGATACTTCTTTTTGCAGTGAAATAATTAAATTCCGTTTTATTTCATAGTTTTGTTTTACATATATGAAATTAGAACAAAATATCTTTTAAATGCAAAAAAATCACTTTAAATTAACTTTAGTGACGATTTATATTCATTCAAACGTGAAATGTGTAATTACAGTGAAAAACTTATGTTGTCCACTCATGAAAATCAACAGAAAAAATAGACGGCATTTTTGCGAGCACAATTTTTTTTAATAAACATTAAAATTTTTGCTTATCCATTTTGCATGATTAATTTTCCAGCCTAAATAATAGGTAAAAACCAAACTCAACTCCAAAAAGAAAAAAGATACTATTTTGAAGCACTTGGAAAATGAGATCCCAAAACTTTTTCGCTACTTTGCTTTAGGTTATTTTTTCAATCACCTGTTCTGAATACAAATATGCGTCCTTTCAGTTCGGATTTTTACTAAAATTAGTTTTTTTTTTCAATAAACACCCGTGTAGAAATTTTGTCATGGCTCAAACCGGGGCAAAACTTAGCGTCCATAAAATTGGCATGAAACGCCTTACCCGATTTGGGCCACAAGATGAAGCCACATTTTGACGCTTCCCAGGTCTCGGCCATATTGGGTGAGGCTTTTCAAGCCATTTTTAGGCCAAATTTGTCAATTTCTACACGGACATTTTTATGCACAGACTTATTTTACATAAAAAACCAGGAAGTGGTCCATTCATGACTACATTTCCCTACATTATTAAATCTCAGTGAGAAGTGAAAAATTAAGAAGAGTTGTAATCTAATTCATTTTAATTCCACTTTAGTCCAATTCTTTTTTATTCATTTAGAACAGTTGGAAATAAGCTCATTTCAACTTTTTTCAATATACAATTTTAAAATTTTATTCGGAAAAATAAATGTTGGCCCGATATTTTGAACCTTCAGTTTTCATAGTAGAAATCGAACAACCTGTTATAACAAGAACTATGAAACAAGCTTTACTATATTTTTAATTACAATTAATTAATAAATTAATTATAAGGATACACTGAAAAAAATATAGGTGAGATCTTAAACTACAACTGAAGCAACTACAAAATCTCATTCGACCTACTACATTCTTAGTTCTTTTAACTATTCTCATATAAAAGTCAATAGAATTTTTTAAATTCAGTTGAGGTCCTATCGAGGGGGAATTTACTCAGGTAGTCAAGTGTACACTCTTCCTGTAATACTTGTGTAATAACGTGTAATACCGTGTAATAATGCGTTATTACGGTGCTGTAATAACGCAAAAAAATCTGTAATATCTCTGTAATAATGTGTAATACTCTGTAATAACGTGTAATAACTTAGTAATAAGGGTAATATGAGGTGTAATACCGGTAGTCAAGTGTACACGTTTTTAACTAGTAAATTCCCCCTCGGGTCCTATTGTACTAGGCAGAGTAGTTAAAAAGTAATCAAATCTACTGATTTTTTTAAGTGTACTTAAACTGAAACTTCATTCTTCATTCTTATAAAATGCAAAAGAATTTAATAGTTAGCGAGATAAAAATGGAATAAATTCGAATTCATCTTCCAGAGAAATTGAAGTACCTACTTAGTTGAGACTTACTTTGAATTGAAATTTAAAAAAAATTGAATAGTTAGCAAAATATTAAAAATTCATTTTTAAGTGAAACTTATAACTGTAATAGAGAATAACAAAAGGGATTGGAGAAAAATGGAATTTCAGAAGATTGATTAATTTATCTTTTCTATATGGAGAAGTAAAATTTTTAATCCTTTTTAATTTCTCGCTTCTTACTGATCAATATATTATATATACTGATCATGGACATGTTAAATTTGAACTTAACCGCAGTAGTTGGTACATTTACTCTATTAAAATTTATACATAGAGAATCGTTATTAATACCAAGATATTAATCTCTTTTTCATATAACATTTATTTTGTTTTCTCCGTGTAAAATTGGAAATATTTTCACTGTATAATTTTTTCGGTCAATGCCTCAATATAAATATAAATAAATATATTAAATAAAATATAATTATCCACAACAAAATAGTCCAAATTAAAAAAATAGACAAAATTTAATTTAATAATAATAATTAAAGTATAACAAATTAAAAAAACAATAGTCATTCTATATTTACTTGTCGAGTTTTTGTTGAGTGAAACATTTAAAATTTATATACTTCAAACGGACGGATTGAAAAAAAAGGTTATAAATTTGTAATTTCCTATGTAGAATTTGTGATTTATGTAAAAAGCAAATGGAATTGCAAAATTATGTTTGAAGTGTGTTTTTTTTCTGAAAGTACAAAAATCTAGCGTGCGCTTATTTGTTATACAATTTTGTAAAAACGTATATTTGCACACTTTTATACTTAAATTCTAAATCGCTTTTCATATACGGGGTATTTTTCAAAAATCTAAAATAATGTAAAAGTATATTATTGGTCATTTTAAAAAATTTTCCCTAAAAACATAATTTATATATATTTATCTTAAAATTTTTAATTTTTTTTACCAGGGAGAACTCTACTAGAAAAAATATTCTTTTTTAAAATTATTTCTAAGGGATCTTAATTCATATGAATAAATGAATAACCAATATTTGAAGAATCCCTTATATAAATAAACAAATTGAATTGTTATAAAAATTTTACAAAATAAATAATTTTCTCAATTTAAATTTAATTTACACCCTTGCTTGTGTCCCTCTCTTTTTTTCGTAAAAATATAGTGAAAATTATCCTCTTTAAAGTTTCTTCTGCAAAACTTGAATGCCATCAAATGCAGATAAATATATATCCAAAGATAAAACAATGCTAATTAAATTATTTCTAATAATTGTTCCTAGTTGTTAGTTGATCATTTCGTTCTCAAGATTTTCGTTTCTTTGGTTTTCTTCGTGTTCATTACAATATGAACAAGGGCTTGTGCTTTCGCCTCGAGAATTAAGAGAATCTAATCCTTCCGCTACATACGTGACGTAGGTATCGATGCTTTTCGTGTCTAGGGAAGGCAATGAACAAGACAAGGACAAGGAGTCGAAATTCTCTGCTTCTTCAGCATCTGAGATGATTGAATGCCAAGGTTGAATCATCTCCGGTGTTGGGGGTCTTGACTTTTTAGCAAGCCCGCCTGATGTCGAGAGCTTCTTAATCGCCTAGAACAGCGGAAATTACATCCTTTCGAATTAATAAAATGGTTCACTTTAATCCTCATTGCATCAGTTTCTTCGAAAATTATAGTCTTTCACTCAATTAATCTAAGTAGAAATTTTTTATTTAATTTTATTTACGTTTTAAAATCAATTTTATAATTTTGTATAATTCGCATTCAAAATTTTTGGTATAGATCAAATGAACTAAACGAAACTAATGAATACAATATAATTCCGTAGAATGAAGAAGTAATATAGTAGCGGCTTGACAGCTGTTTATAGGGGGACTATTAATTTATGCCAAATCGATAAACATATTAAGACAGTGATAAGTTACCTAAATTTTCTCACGATTATAATATATCTCTGTTAATTTTGACTATGAGTTGTTATATGACTTTCGAATTAATAATGATGTATTTTATAAAATTTGACAGATATATAAATAAAACATTTACTTTCAATGCTTTAAAAAAGAAATCTTCATATCCAATTAATGAATTAATTATATCACTTCTAAAAGTTTCCCTTTCAAACCATATTTATATAATACTTTATAATAATCTATAAAAATCTATATAGACATCTATATCTATACATAGATAGTAAACAAATGGGTGTAAATTTTCACAAGCAGTGAAATGAAAAGCTCTCCATAGATTCTTCATACAAAAAAAACCCAAAGTAAATGAATTAAAAATAGATCAACTTTGTAAAAAGACTGCAACTTTGGTTGAAAATCATTTGAAACATTCAAAAGACAAGTTGAAAAATATACCTGCATATACAGTATTCAAAAACTAAACTACTTAAATTGCAAGCAATTGCAAAATGTAAAATGAATGAAAATTCATTTACTTGCAAAAGTAAATGAGTTGCAAGTCGAAAAGACTAATATAATTAAATAAAAACATACGCCCTGAAGACGTTCCAAAGAATAATATTTAAGAGAAAAAATAATGAAAATATTGTCAAATGGAATTAATGAGTTTCGTGCCAAGAAAATGTACGTTGAATCAATTCGAATCTGCTCACCCGTAAAATCCTTCTGCCAGATTTAGAAAGGACTTTTTTGAGCATGTCTCGGCGCTTTAGTGTTTGACTTTGAACCCCTCGAGTGCACCTGTCCTCGCGAGTTGATATTCGTTTAGAATCGACCTTCACCAACAGCAAAAAAAGGATCGATTTTGTGGAAAGGACAACGTCCTAGTGAGAGGAGCGATCACGACGCGCACCAGGGAGTGTCTATAGTGAGAATGCTGCTACTTCCTAAACTGCAGTCCTACTTATAAGCTCTCCCACCCCCGCCTTATCAAACTACCAGTCAGTCGATCCCTCCCAGGAAAGGTGGACGAGCAACTCAGGGGTAGATTTCGCGCGGGAGTGGGGCACCTTTAATATCTGTAAGTGAATCTACGTCAGTACAGAGGCACCCTACCACGCTTTAGATGGGGTAACAGAGGGGTAACGACGTTCCGATGTTCCCCAGGGAGCTCTGGCTCTAGTGGTGAGAAAATTTCAAATTGGATTAATGTCCCTGTGATTGATAGTTTTTCTTTTTCAACACCAACATTCACTTCTATTGTGTACTGATTTTTAGTCAATTGTTCATTATGTTACGAGTTTGCGAAATTTACGCTTTTCTTATTCGCACACATCTTAACACAGATGAACTAATAGAGCGTCAGTCCGAGCGCTAAACGAGTTACAGAATTGGGAGGTTCATATATAATAATACAGTCTTTAGAAAAAAAATATCCAAGAAATTCAACTACCTACCATTGGATAGTTGACTGGAAAACCGTTAAAGTAACTACTTTTTTTAGTTAGTTTAAGGTAATGTGACTGTTGTTATTTCACATGCAAATATCCTCTGCAGGTTTTATCCCAAAATATTTGATAGATTGAGCTAAATTTTATGGGGAACTTAAAAATAATTATTTTTGAGTAACTCCATAAAATTTTAGATCAATTTATCAAGGCACTAAAAAAAATTTATTTGATTCACTTTTTTTCACTTGATTACAACTCCTTTATTTTTCCAAAGTTTTAAACATAAATTTAAGTTTAATAAAGAAAATTAAAAAATATCAATTTTTTAAATAATTTATTTATATATTAAGGTTTTGTTTTCAAGCAATAAATTGTCAAAGTTGGAATTTCATTGTCGCTGCGCCGGCAGCAATTCTCTTACGCTAAGACCACCCTGTGTTTCAGCGTAACCGAGTTGTTGCCGGCGTAACGAAAATTTTACAGTTTTTATTAAGGTAGTATTACACTTTAGAAGCAGTAAAAAAAGGGTTCAAACAACAAATTTTTTCTCGTTAATTACTTTATTTAATGAAAAGAAACCTTCTGTACAATATTAAGGACAAATAGTTCTTCAAGGAAAAATAAAAAAAAATTTTTTATTGAATCTTTCTGGTTACCAAAGGGCAGTGAAGTCAAGGTCAAAAAAAATTTTTGTCAATCGCGGGCAAGCTGCAGCCTTTCAGGGGCATCGGATTTAAAAACAAAAAAAAGCGTTTTAAAGCTTAGACACGTGGTTGAGCATTGTGCCTTGCTCGATAAAAAATAATTAAAAATGACAAATTGGGAGCGAATTCAAAAAATTTTGCAAAAAAAAGGGGACAGTTTTTGGACAGTTTTTGGGTCGTAGCTAAAAACCAAAAAGGAATATAATCGGTTTTAGGCATAGGGGAAGGTGGGGGAATTAGAGCTCCTTAAGGACAATGATTAAAAAAACCAACTTATTGTTATAATAAAATATTGTTTTGGTCATTTTTTACTCCTTTTGTTATTTATCTTTAATTATAAGTAATTAGAAATTAAGAACAAAAAAGTAAGTTTGCAAAAAAACTGCATTTTCTCCCATTACCCCACCTGTGGGGTATTGGGAGCTCTCACTTGAAATTCCAATAAAATGATATAATTTTTATTTTCTTTAGATATTTTTCTTATTTTGTCAATAGTTCTCGACAGATAAACATTTTACAAAATATTTAAGACATAAAAAAGACCTATAGCTTCTTTAGTATTAGAATATCCAATAATAACATATTTTATACAATAAAACACAAATATTGATTGTTAGCAATTAAATATGCAACAATATCAAATTTTATAAATGAATCTTGTTTAATTTTCAAGAAAATAAGAAAAGCCATATCGAGGTAACGAATCTCTGCCGGCTGACACAATTCTCCCATTACCCCAAAGAATTTTCACAGGCCACAATTTGAAAAAAAGAAGAAAAACATAAACAAATTTAATTATTACCCCTATTTTTATTCATTTATCTAAATCTACACATATTTATCTCTAATAAAATCAAAAAACATAATTAAATAATAAATTTTTAACCATTTACTTTGATCTCCGGAAATATTTTCCATTTAAGAAGAAAAACTCGAAAACTTGATTTTTCCTTTGTAGTTTCAACAAATCTGTCAGAAATGTGACCGTTTGTCTTCGTATGACATACCTACAGGAAGATTGTTCAAGTTTTCCAAGTTATTTCCACGAAATTCAAAGTCTCTGTGTACTTGAAATTTAAAAGCTCCCATTACCCCACCTTCCCCTAATGCCTGCAGGCTTTAATTACGAAAAAAATAATATTTTTTTCTTTTTTTTTTGGATAAATAGAACCCGAATTATGCTGTCCGCCAGTTTAAAAAACATCGTTTCGAGAAAAACTCGTTTAAAGTTTTTACTCCCAAATGTACAAATTTTTATCAAAGTTTGGCGCTGTATTTTCGCAATTAAACTCTATAAAAAAAAGTTTGCAATAGCCATTTCATATGTGCCAAGAACCGCTCTTTCGAATGGTGCATAAGAAAATTCTGTAAATTTTTAAGTAAACAAATTATACTATATTATATTGGGCTTGAAACATTGCGCCTTAGAAAAATTTCAATAACTTTAATCTTCAGCAGTTTCCCACAAAGCACCGAAAGTTTCCTATAAACCTGTATTAAAGCTGTACATGCCAACTTGGAAAAATTTAGTGGCAAAGCTTAATACAGATTGTGTAAATGTGTAAATGTCCGCACTTGAGTAAACGTTTAGCGTTAAAGTTGCCTAATGATTTAAAATAAATCTTCAGTAAAGGTTTAGCTTCAAAGTTGCCTGAAGATTTAAATTAAATCTTTGGTAAAGGTTTAGCGTAAAAATTGCCTGAAAATTTAAATTAAATCTTCCGTAAAGGTTTATCGTAAAATTTGCTTGAAAATTTAAATTAAATCTTTGTTAAATGTTTAGTTTAAATACAGAGATCTGTTTGAACGATTTTGTTTAATTTAACACAGCTTGTAAGGGAGCATTCACAAATGATGTCACACATTTTTTCAAGATTTTTTACCCCTACCCCCCCTATCATGCTATTTTACTATATTTTCTTAAGGCGGTTCCATAACACCGGCACACAAAACAAAAAAAATTTCGAGTGCGAAGACCGCCACATGGTAGGTTCTCTTCCTTAAGATGTATCTAAAGAGAAAATCCTAGTCCGACCTCGAGTTTGGTTCTTGTTTCATTTTTACAGGCCTGGTGGGGGGGTGTAGTTTGAGAAATTAACATATATGGGAATTTAATTTCTTTTATCAACTGAAAGTGAATGTTTGCTTATTCTAACTGTGGATTTTGATTCAGTGGCTCTAATTACATGAAAATTTAATAAATACACAAATTTAAAAATGGCGGATCCAATATGGCGGACCTAAAATGGTGGATTTTTTGAAAAATTTGCTTGGATTTCCTTGAAACTTGTTACTAGGGGGTTTTTCGGGTCGCTGATTACGAATTTGATATCAAATTTTATAAATTCAATATGGCGGATCCAATATGGCGGACCTAAAATGGTAAATTTTTGAAAAATTTGTTTGGATTTCCTTGAAACTTGTTACTAGGGGGTTTTTGGGGTCGCTGATTACGAATTTGATGTTAGTTTTTCAAAATTCAAAATGGCGGATCTAATATGGCGGACCTAAAATGGTGGATTTTTGAAAAATTTGTTTGGAGTTTCTTGAAACTTGTTACTAGGGGGTTTTTGGGGTCGCTGATTACGAATTTGATGTTAGTTTTTCAAAATTCAAAATGGCGGATCTAATATGGCTGAAAATTTTCGAAAAATTGTTTGGTTTTTGTAAAAAATTGCTATTTTGGGCTGTTTAGGTTGCTGAATAAGATTCTGACACTTCTAAGCAACATAAGTTAAGATTGAAAAAATTTCGCACCTACTACTTTGCTAATTTAAACTATGAAACGAAAATCGCAAATTCGGCCCATTTCAAAAGAAGTCTTTTTAATAAGTCTTAATGTTTTAAACAAATTTAAATTAAATTCGAAATAAGTCGACCGTAACTCCGCATTTCAAATACGCTATTTTTAATGTATTAAAGTTGACATTAAAATCATATTCAGCAACCTAAACAGCCCAAAATAACAATTTTTGACAATAACCAAACAATTTTTCGAAAATTTTCAGCCATATTAGATCCGCCATTTTGAATTTTGAAAAACTAACATCAAATTCGTAATCAGCGACCCCAAAAACCCCCTAGTAACAAGTTTCAAGAAAATCCAAACAAATTTTTCAAAAATCCACCATTTTAGGTCCGCCATATTGGATCTGCCATATTGAATTTATAAAATTTGATATCAAATTCGTAATCAGCGACCCGAAAAACCCCCTAGTAACAAGTTTCAAGGAAATCCAAGCAAATTTTTCAAAAAATCCACCATTTTAGGTCCGCCATATTGGATCCGCCATTTTTAAATTTGTGTATTTATTAAATTTTCATGTAATTAGAGCCACTGAATCAAAATCCACAGTTAGAATAAGCAAACATTCACTTTCAGTTGATAAAAGAAATTAAATTCCCATATATGTTAATTTCTCAAACTACACCCCCCCACCAGGCCTGTAAAAATGAAACAAGAACCAAACTCGAGGTCGGACTAGGATTTTCTCTTTAGATACATCTTAAGGAAGAGAACCTACCATGTGGCGGTCTTCGCACTCGAAATTTTTTTTGTTTTGTGTGCCGGTGTAATAGGTGCAAAAGCCAAAAGTACAAGTGCAACACCAAAAACTAATCGGAAACCGATCGGGGACACAGAAAAAGCCCTATTTCAGCCCGATTAAAACCGGGGACCGACCAGGGCCGCTGTTTTGGTCCCGGTCGGGTTCCCTGTTTCAACCAGGTCAGGGTTAAGAATTTCTGCACGGGCATGATTGCGAAAGAGATAGGTATAGTCTATCTATCTCTCTTGCAGTCATGGGATTTGCATTTGGACTTGGTTTTTGCACCTATTCTGGAACCGCCTTTATAGAAAAAATACATTGTGTCACGTTTGGCAAAGTCCCCCCCTCTTTGTCAGTGCTCGACATCATTTGTGAACGCTGCCTAAGTTTTATTTTAATATATGGAAAATATATATCACTTTCATTTTTAAATATTATTTGTTTCAATGAAAATTGTAATATATTTGATATAAACTTAAAAGTTAGTTTAGAATGGACGCATGTCCAACACCTTGCTTTTATGTATTCTGTAGTTCCCCGCCATATATCAAAAAAAGTTACCATTCCTTGTTAGGTGTCACAATTCAGATGTTCCACTGATTATTTTACATTTATTGTCAACAAGATTTTGACATCACAGAAAAAAACTGAACTCAGAATGAGCCGCCTAGGCGACTCATTTTGATGTGCAACAAAAATGAACCAGGTTGGTCGCGCCACTGTCTATGTCGTTTAGCATTGGCTCATTTTGATTTGCAACAAAAATGAGACTAGGTTTTTTCTGTGATGATTCTTAATATAAAAAATTATTTTTCGAGTATCATCTTTTGGAGATCATTTTAACTTGAAGATTATTCTGAGTGTATTAAATTTACTGTATTTTTAACCGTGTATTCAAAGTGCATGAATTATTTTTCATTTAAACTTATGTATATAATTCTCGCTTATGTCTCATTTTTTTGCTTGTGACTTGACAGAAGTACTGCTCAAAACACGTGTGCAGATTAACTGTTCAGTCACTTACGAGTGACTAGCCAGATTATTTTGTTAAGTAAAACTCGCTCCTAACTCAAAGAATACTGGACATAGACCAGTATTATTGGTATTATTGTTAAGTAAAAGTTCAAGTACATATTTTTTTCTCATGTCTATATTATAAAACTAATAGAATATAATGTATAATAGGTACTCTTCATAAAAATAACTTTTTTGTAGCTCACAATTAGGGAGATGGCCAAAATGAAATCTTAAGACTAAATGTTTCTAGATGAGTAAAGATTAAGTAAAGAATGAATGAATGAATCGACTTGAATATAATGAGTGAGAAGTTGAATCGATGCACGAGTATATACGTCTGCGTGCGTGTGCATCCGCGTGTATGTGACGCGTGTGAGCGACGTTGTTCTCACGCGACGCCACGCGTCCAATAGTAGTCTATAGTACCCCATAACACGTGCCGGTCATATACCCACGAAAACTCATAATTGTCATAACAGCTAAAACTTCTCTGTATTTGTGTTTGAGACCACGTGTGTGAACACTTACACGCTTTTGCACTCAATCACTTCGAATTTATGTAACTAATTGAGTTTCAAGCCTAATTTTCTATATTGTATTCTCACATTCATACATACAGAAGTTACATTTTTTCTGTTTCACATAAAAAACCGCGCATAAATTCATCAATTATTCTAAGTGAGAAAAAATGTATATCCAATTCATTGTAGATTGTTTAAAGTGGACAATTTTTGAACGGTATATTATAACCGAATAATGATCATAGTCACCTCAAAGTTACAATAGTTATATGCGGTTAAGGTTTCCAATAAATAGAAATCCTCGACTATGTAAAATTTATTGAATAGCGCTCTACTCGATATGAACGATATTAATGTATCTCAATCAATTCTTTGTTAAGGATTAAAACAGGGATCATCGTATTACCATTTTTTAATTCGGTTCACGTCTGCTAAAAAATAAGTAATTGAATATACACGCCACGTGCCGCATATATATTGGTACTGGTAGGACAGTACTGATTTGATATTGCCTATATTTCTGCAGAGGTCCATGTTGGTACTCGCGTAGAATAATACTCTACTGCGTTTCCATGTGTATATATTATCAATGTATTCTATATTGAAAATTATATTTTTGACTCTACTTGTTATTTACACTTCACTCAATTTTTTTTATTTATACGCTTGTCTCTATAACTTAAAAGTAAGTGATTTTCACTCAAAAATAAGTGAAGTTTAACTTATTTTTAAGTGCATGTACACTTATTTTTCTATACGGGAAAGACTTTTGAAAAATTCTAAGTGAAATTTTACTTATTCAAATTTAGAGTTATTTCTTTTAAAAACTTTTATATAGACTTTAGTAACAACTATTACAAAAGCGAAAAAATTTTCGTAAAAGCAGAGGGTTTTGTATTCAGAGCAATAAAAAAGCACTTAATTACGCGAAATTAAAGTACGAATTCAAATTGAAGCTTCAGTGTAGCAACATTTTAAAACGAAATTGAAAATAATTGTTTTACAAAACCTGAAAAAATATTTCGAATTTCTTTTTGAAACTAATTTTTTTCGTTTTTTTTCTAAAAAAAAGTTAGATATTATTGACAATTATTAATACTCTTCAATTTTGATGAAATTTTGATGGAATTTTTAAGAATAATACCCGTGCAGAAATTGACACTTTTCATCCCGATTACCGACCTGGCCCCGATCCGATTTCCTGTTCTGGCCCCGGGTTAGTAAATTCCTATGGGACCGACCAGGGCCAGGCCTGGTTGCCATATTAAAATTTTTTAAAAACTAGTGAAAATACATTTATAGCATTTTATGACATTTTTTACTCTCTAAATCTGAATTAGTAAAAATGTTTACTAATTATTAGTAACTTTTACTAATAATTTTTACAATTAGTAAAATTTAACTAATTCTAAAGCAAAAACTGAGTTTTAAATTTTACTAATTGTTGGTAAAAGTTACTAATAATTAGTAAAATTTTACTAATTCATAAGCAAAAAGTGAGTCACTAATTTAAATTAGTAAACATTTTTACTAATTCAGTTTTAGAGAGTAAACGAAACAATTATTCAAATAATTTTTTCAACTTTTATTTCATTTTCATTTTATAAGGTGTTTTTTTAAATGCAGATTCATAAAATAAAATAATATTGATAAATTTTATTGTTTTATTTATTAATTAGACAAAAATAATTATAATTTATTGAAAATTACAATTACTATAAGAACGGGCAAATTACCATGGCCCTGGTCGGGTTCCCTGATTTATTTCGATCGGTCCCTGATCAGGTTGCCAGATCTGGCCCCGGTCGTGCCTGGTCTGGGCCCGACCAGGGTCCGGTCAAATTTTCTGCACTGGTATACCTATTGAAAAGTGAATAAATAATAAGTCAAGGAACAACAAAACAAACACCTTTCCGGTCTACTATACCATCAAGCATCCAATTTTCTCTATATAATAAGTGCTTGAAGTGAAAATTTGTTTTTAAAATAAGTCGCACGGAGAAAACTGGAGGGATAGACCAAACATTTAGTGATCAGCCATTTATATTTGAGGGAAAACTATAAGACCTCCCTCTATATGTTTCAGCAAACCATTCATTTTTTATCCCTCCAGTTTTCTCCGTGCGGATTTGGCTGAATTTATAGTTTAAAAAGATGAAAGGATTCTATGCACTTTTATGAGAACGTTTATAAAAAAAATGTGTGCACACAAAAGAGAATTTATCACTAAACTAATTTATTTAATGTCTAAAGAAGAACCACAGATATCAGTACGTTTCTATGAAAGTGAAATATTTATACTTATGTGTAAATTTGACATTATATGAACCGATATGATCCGACCTGCAAAGCAAGACTATAGTCTTGCTTTGCAGGTCGGATAAAATAGTAACTTTAACTTTGCAGCTCGATTTGAATGAATGTAGTGCTTGCGTCGCAGTGTTTTATGTAGAATATATAGTGTGCGCATTTCTGATAAATTTTTAGGGGAAATAATCGGGGAATGGTGATGCCGATGAGGTAATGATTGCCGCGTGCCGATCACGTGGCTTATATGCGTTCAAACATTGTAACCCTGGTATACGCGAAGTGTTCACATTCAAACAAAATAAGCCTCACCTAATTGCAATGGCTGTTCCATTAGAGATTAGACTTCAAAGAAGTTCACTTCGAACGTCCGTCAGGTTCATTCGCTCACTACCTCTCTCGTTTAATTAACTCGCCTTGTATGTAACGAATGATCAAGTTACCGATTTCGATTAAAACTCCATCGTTCTACACATGTTTCATGTTTAACTTGTACAAAAGTTCTTCTTATTCTTCTTCTTTTGTATATTATATACATAGTTCATTATTATGCAAATCTTTATACTATACTATTATAAGTTAATATTTAACAATAACTCATTAACATTTAATTAAAATTTTTTTCAAACTAATTATTAACGAATGGTTTCATAAGTTATTGATGTTTAACACAATTATAAGAATTATTATTATAGTACAAATATAAAATAATTATTTCAACTTATATGTGTGACCTGAACAGTTAAGAGGGACCTTGGGTTAAAAAATGATTTTGTTAGCAGTTTGTTTAATTAAAAAGAGCAATTTTTTCTAACAGAATTACTAAAAAAGTGAAATGCCTACTATTTTTTTTGACCTTTTAATTCCAGGTCTCATATAAATATTTACCAAAACCTAAAGTTTTAATTAATAATAGGTTGAGATACAAACGCACGTTTTTAATTGTGACATTTTACAAGTGGTACAAAAGATTACAGAATTTTTTATTAAAATTATTGAATAGATCGATTTAGAAAAAAATGTGAACGTGACTTTTTGAAAAGCATAAGAGATTATTGTAATAATATTCTCTGTAACAATATTGATATTTTTACAGAATGAATTTGTTTGCAGCGCGTTTTCAAAAATTTTTATTTTTACTTTTCTAATAAAATTCAAAATTTTAAATTTAAAACCTCATAGCTGAACAGCAGTAAAATAATGTACCAGTCGAGTGCGGACTCTGACAATATCACATTAAGTATTTAAATTTAAACAACCATAAAATAAATATGACAAAAATTTATAAAATTATTAAAGTAATAAAACAATTAATTATATTATTGTTAAATTTTAATAATTGAGTAGATTTTTCTTTATAATCAAACAATTTTAATTTATATTATTTGAAAAGTTAATTTTATTAATTTAAAAAAAATCCTTTTCAGTTACGAAAAGTGCGATTAAATCAAAATAAAAGAAATCAAATATAAAGACTGAAATAACAAAAGATCAGAGAAGAATTGTTATTTATAACTAAAGAGAAGAAAGAGGTTGAAAATATTTTTATTTCAATAACTTTGAAAAATAAATGATATATTTGTCACGTGCACAAAATAATCATTTAGATTGTTTGCACACTTAGTTGAAAGATATTTAGACAAGTTTCAGGTTTTACATATATGTAAAATTTGTAGATACTGTTTTATTGGTAAGTATGTGTGTGTGTGTGGATCTATATATGTGACGCTCCACAAGAGAAAGGACCTATGTCGGAAATAATATTAGGCTTAGTTTTCATGTACGGTGCACGGAAAACTGAGCCTAATGTTATTTCGGGGATAGGTCCCTTCTCTCGTGGAGCGTCACATATATATGTATATACGTATAAAAGGAATAGCTGATGATGAATATAACCACAAGGACGATGTTAATCCTTTGGTGTGTCAAATGCGTGGGAATCGCTTCAACTCCGGCCTCACACGCGACCAAAGTGCGTCCAGTGGGGTAACAGAGCGAGGGAGGGGTTAAGGGTCAGGAATTTCAGGATAAAGAAAAAAAGGACTCAACCTTTTCCCAATTTTTCGAAGGCGTTATTTTATAATCTTCACAAAAAGAAAATTATTCTCAGAAACATTCTGAAAAGAGAAAGCAAAATAAAAAATGCGAAATAATACACTTATTAAAAATATCAAGTTGAATAATATGAATATTAAATATTAAAATAATTTTAAATTTTTCTTTGTGCATTATTTAACAATATTTTAAATACTGGATTTTTTCCAAAGTTATTTTTAACTGTTTTTAAATCTGGAGACGTTAATATAATATCGAATTATATCAACCAATATATGTTATTATTAACTTTGCCAAAGTCTTCAAAAAATCAACCATAATCACTCTGTAAATCTGAATTAGTAGTTTTCTACTAATGAAAGAGTGCGTAGTCACTATTCGTTTACCAATTGAATTAGTAACAATTTTGACTAATTTTTAGTAAAAAACTACTATAATTGCTAGTAGAAAACTACAGATTTAGAGAGCAGATCTTGCTTTTAATATACTGTTAAAAGAAATTTATTATTAAACAAATCATTTATCCATAAAAGTATTTTATTTTAAACATAAACGTTCTATATTTTTTATTTCGTTCCGTATAAATTTCTTACAGAATCATTTTTTTTTAATTACAGGTCGCAACGACTTTATTTGAAATATAATGGTGTCATCCTAGTACCTAATAGTAATATTATTATTTGATGATGAAATTTGTGAGAGTATCGTGTATTTTTCATTTTTAAGAAAAAAATGTTCAAAATTTTCAATGTATAATCGGGGCATGCATCCCTATATAAGACATCTGTAGGATATCTTAAATATCTGGGCGACGTTAGGGGTACAGTGATTTCTGAAACCAATCGGCTTAAATACTTCGTTCTTCTTTATGATCTTCATTAGTGAAGAATTTCAATTTAACGCTACTTGCATCACTGGCCACTACGTCAAAAAAATTTTTAGCATTTAAAATAAAACTTCATGTGATCCTTCTTAACCTTTAATGGGCAGCATACCTTTCAATTGTTCCTCAAATACCATCGCATGTATTTTTTTCATTGATAGTTGCAAAAAGAGGTCCTCAATGTTAATTACTAAGAGTGGTTGGTATGGTATGTTAAATTAATGATTATTTCAATATTATTATTAAATAATAATATAATTATTACAGCAATTAATTACTCAAATTCCAGGATTTTAAATTTTTTTTAGGAAATTACTCTGATTTTTAACAACGAAGTGGTGTTCTTGCAATTTTTTTGCCTTTATCTATTCTCAATTTACGGTGGAAATAAAATTTTCAAGATGAAAAGAAAGTTTAGCTTGCCTAATTTGAAATAAATTCAGTCTATATGTATATAATATTATATAGGTACTTTAAATATAAATTAAATAAAAAATTAATTTTCTTCAAAGTTAAAAATATGGGATTTCCAAAAAGTCAATGTTGTTTTACATTTCAAATAATATTATTGATTTTTCCAAGCTTAAAGATTTGATATTTAAATTTTATTTTTTTTAAATAAATACAAAAACAACAAATTTTAAATTGTTTATATATACTTCCTTGCATTAAATCCGTTTGAATCTTCACTGAGATTAACCACAGATTTAGTGATTAATCTACTTTTGGTAGAGTGAAGTTTTAAATTTTTACACTTTCTTTGAGGCATTTTGGTACTATAAAATTATTACAAAATAAGTACTTTAAACAATATTTTAATTTTCGAGAGTTTTGTAGTCTGCATACACTTAGGTTTCTTACTGATAAGTGGTAACTAGGAGCAATTGGAGGTAAAAATGTTTGCTTTCATTTTCAAGAAATAATCCACAGATGACGCCACAGATCTGACACCTGAAACAAAATTACAATTAAACATGCCTTACCTACATACGGTTACCGTCAAGCACACCCTGTGAAAAAATATATTTGTCTCAGAGCTAAATAAAATGTTATTTGTGCCAAACAAAATTTATTACTTCCCTCCTTCAAAAGGAATCATTGTATAAAAAAAACAGAACGAAGCACACCTTAAACTATGTCATTTCCCGCGTCGGTTTAAAAAGCCCCTATTTAATGTCTTTTTTAAATTATACCTACATATCAGGTTGCCTATCTTACAGTAGGGAGAGCGTAGTGAGACTTTTTAACATTTGCTTTTTTATCTGGCCCCAAGCTTCTTCAAAGATACAAGTTCAACACACAGATTAAGGGAACATTTACACTTTCTGCCGAAAAAATTAGTTTTCCTTATTTTCGTTGGAAGGTATAAATGCAATGATTGGTCGTGTAATAATTAGCTATTATCACCTATAGCCATAATTAATACAAAGTAATAATTTTCGGATCGCCCCCCCCAAATTTAGCTCCTGGATCCGCCACCAACTTTCTTATATAACAATTATAAAATCATTATGATAATGTAATTTTATCATTCAAAAAATTGATAAAATCCAAAAATAAATAAATAATAGAAACAAGAACTTCTTCTTTAAGGGTTATGGTCAAAAAGACTAAAAAATGTATGTCTTTTTATAATTTTTTTTCATATATCTAATAAATAAATTATTTTATTTGAGCACGTCTTTGAGACGTCGTAAGAATGTTCTACGTCTTCTTCTTTAAGATGTCTCAAAGACGTCTTTTGTTTCAAATTTTGAGAATAAAAAAATTTTCATAAATAGAAGATGTTATTTTCTAAGTTCAACTTGGACTTAGAAACTGCTGAAGATAAAAGTTATTGAAATTTTTTTAAGTTAAATTCATTTCATTAAAAAGTTAGATTACTGTATTTCAACTTAGAAAATATGTATTGTGAAAGAAATTTCTATTTAAGAAGATCTTAAGGGATGTGAAAAGGACGTCTTTTAGACGTTTTTTGGACATCTTTATTGGACCAGACATAGAATCTCTTATAGACGTCTTTTGGTTGTCTTTAAGATGTCTCCGAGACTTTACTATCATTGTCCCCGGATGTCCGCGAACAAGATGAGATGTATTTTAGACGTTTTTAAGACGTCCCTTTGCCCACTGGGATAAAATGAGTAAGTTATAGAATTTTCGTTAATAAATACTAAAAATTAAGCCAACAGTAACAACAATCTCGTGATTGAACGAAGGGTTTTTAAAAAATTGAAATTTGAATTTTTGACAGAGTTTTTTGTCACAAATTACGATTTTTGGGATTATTTAGACCATGTAAAATCGGTTGTAATGAACAGAAAAAAAATCCTTCGTTCAATCACTATTCAATATTATGTAGAAGAAGTGTTTTGAGAAAACAGCGTTTAAAGTTGAATATTATAAAGGTCGGATTTTCTTTTTTATTTCATCGGATTCATTTGAAAATATTTACTCTGGGGTTTGTGGCGACGCTGATTACGGATCTGGTGTCAGTTTTACAAAATTAAAAATGGCACTGGGTGCCGGTCGAAACAAAATAAAGCGTTTTCGAAAGTTCTCTCTCTTCGCTGGAGTTTTACTAAAATTATTTTAAAACTTTAGGAAAATATTCTTCATATGTTATCCTATCAAGTAAATTTTTTTTACCCATGTAACCCCTTAAGAATCATTAAAAAAGTATGGAAAGAAAATAGTAGAAATTGTAAAAGAAGTACAATTTTAAAAATTAAAATTTTTTTAAGACTTCAATTTCTAAACTGGTCAAAAATTAAAATTTTTTTTTTTTGAACACCTTGTATGATTTTAAGACATAATTTAAACTTAAGTTGGTCAAAATGGGGGGTGGTGCCTCTCCTTAATCAAAAACATTTTTTAATTTATTGATTTTGATATTAAAACATATTATTATTTACAGTGTATTTAACGCTCTCAGTTTTCTGACAACTTTCAGTCAGTAAAAGTTAAACAAATAATAATATAGAAAGACTAGAAGTATGTATACTAGTTTAGAGAGTGTAATTTAAACTTACTCGCATTGTATCACATATTTTTCTTAACTTTAAGTATAGTTATTTAATTTAGAGAAATTCTTTGAATTTTATCGAATTGAAATTAGGGCACAATGAATCATAGTGATATACACATCAGTGACTTTATTAAGAATTAATGATCAATAAATATGAAATGATTTCGTCGGTTTGATCTATATTTATAAAGCAATCAAACTAAGAACATCGATTCTTACTACAACGTTTTCAATTTACTTTTAGTCTTTTTAAACAGTGAAAGGAATGATGAAACTGACAATCCTATTGCTTTTATTTGTCAAATCTTTTTCCATGAGTACAATTTTTCAATTGCAAAATTACAACGAAACAAATGAACTTGAGAATGAAATGACAAGTCTCATAAAATTATTGCTGCATATAAAAAATAATTACTTCGAGGATCGTCCCATCTTTGTAAAATATGATTCTAATATCGAAAAACATCACCCTGTAGATTTTAAGCGTTTTTCAAAAGAGTTTTCAGCTTCCTTTGTTCAGGAACAAGTCGATCCATCGTCACCGAAAAAATTACAGCGTTTAAAACATGTTAACTGTAATTATATTATTTTTATGGAAAAATTAAATTCAGTGAAATATTTCATTGAGCCCAACTCGAAGAGTAAGATTGTTTTAATTACCATTGATACATCTTGGACTGTCAAGGATTTTCTGAAAAGCCATTTGTCGAGATTTTATGCGAATCTTTTAATCTTAACTCACTCCTTAAGTCGACGAGCCGATGTAAGTACTTCTTTTTTCATTACATGAAATGGGAGGACCATCTCTTCTGTTCAATCATATTATTTTTTATTTGTATTATTTTCTTTTTATTAGTTGTAAAATTCAGGGAGTCTATCAAAAAATATACAAAATATACAAAATAAAATAATAAGTAACAAAAGATTAACAAGAAAGTAAAATAAAATATAAATTATCAAAAGGTATCTTACCAAAAAATTAATAAGTCACATGTAAAGAAACATTGATATTTAACCCTGACAATGGACTAGAGTCTGGAGTCCGTTTGTAAAGCAAAAAAAGAAATTAGTTTAAAAATAAATAGATATAAATTAAAAGTAATAAGAACAAAAATGATAACAAACAAGATAATAAAATAAAATAAAAATAATAAAAAATGTAGTGAAATTATTAAATATATAAAATGAAAAAATAATAATACAAAATAATTAAATATAAAAATTAAATGAAACTTTTAGAAACAATAAACTTAGAAAGTAGTAAGTAGTGAGATAGAATGAAATAACATACCATAATAAATAAATAAATAATAATAAATAAATAAACAGTAATGGCAAACCAGTACTCGGTCAGTATTAAATCAATAATGAATGCCAGTATCCAGAAAAATTATGAAAGTTGTACCTCCATGAAGTTGGCGTTGACGCTCAGCGCCGAAAATTATTTTTCACAGGAACAAAAATGTCATATTATTTTTTTTAAAAAGATTTTCAGTCCAAATATGTAATGCCTTAAGAAATACTTTTTAAGCTATTATGTGAACCCAAAACTTTTTTAAAAATGATTCGTTATTTTTGGTCCCGTGAAAAATAATTTTCGACGTTGAGCGTCGACGCCAACTTCATAGACGTAAAAATTGTGTATTTTTGTTGGTTAGAAATTAAATTTACATACATATTTTTTTTAAATTATTTTAATACTTCTTTTCCATTACTGTAATGCGTTCGTTAATGGAATTATGAAATTTAAATTTAATATTAAAACTTTTTAATAAAAAAAATACATAATTAATGAAGTTCTCAAATTATTTTTCTTACACTAAAAATATATTTGAATCAAATAAACTCTATTTTAACCAATAATTTCATTCAATTTCGGTAATTTAAACAAATACAAATAAATGTATATTTTATAATATTTGAAGAAATTATTTGAATAATAAAATAAAGAGTAAAATGTTAATATAAAAAAATAACAATTTAAAAGTTATTAGGTATAATAATTTATTATTATTAATAGTTAATGGTATTAGTCGGTTCTTCGATCCAGCTGTTCAATTAATGTAAAAAGCAAAAAGAACCCTGAATTTTGAATATCTACCAGTGCTGGTTTATTACTGGTTACTATAATTATTACCAAATTATTACTAATACCAGTACTAATAAACGTTATCATTCCAAACATATGCCAGTATTGGTTCAATATTGGCGGTCACTACTTTGCCAGTAATTGCGTGTTTGTTAACAAATTGTTCCGGATAATTATTAAGTTTTAAATCTAGTTTAATTAAATTAATGTTTTTATTATGAAATTTTTTATCAAAACGATATCTACAAGATTTTTAATAATTGCGATTTTGTGTTGTATAGCACACCCGCCACTTTGATGTGGCAACATCGCAGGATGGTAACATTAGTTAGAGAGAGACAGTAGTCCACAGTAGTCAAAGCGAGACTTATAGCGACGTTGTCAAACCTCCTACTCCTTCCAATCGCTGCTAGTGTGGGGTATACGTGTACGAGTGTATTTGTAGAAGTAGGTACAGTATGGGCTGAGAGTATAGGGAGTTGAGGGCGAAAGTATAGTGCGGGAAGTAGTAATGCGAGCTACAAACTTTTGACTCCGATTAATACCGATGTGATACCTTAAGAGTGCTGTAAGAAGCTTCCTCTGAAAATTTCTTGGTAAGGCATTTTAATATTACCTTCTCGTCCGCGGAGTATGGGTTGTTGTTGTTTTGTAAGCTGAAGGACCACCAATATTTTAGCGATGAATTGTACTGTTTAATTGAGCTGTCGGTGAGCGAGGCAGTCATGACTGCGATTATTTCCTCCTCCAGTCCCTTTTCCTGCAAGGTTTTCCGGAAACAATTCCGCACACCAGGGAAAGGCTGGCCGAGAGTGGGTGAGTCCGTGTTCTGCAAGGTGAAAGAAGAAGATTAGATCCAGGAGAAAATGTTATCGTGTTTGAGACGAGGAGTTTTTGAAAAATTGGAAACCAGGGTTGTACCGACCATTCAGGGACTACTATTACCCCGGTAGAGCCTTCGTCCCTGATTTTTTTAAAAATTTTATTGATTAGGGAGAATGGAGGGAACGCGTACCAAAATTCGTCTCTCCAATTGACTGTCATGGCATTAATTGCGTAAGCTTCCGGGTCTCTTTCCCATGAGCAATATTTGGAACATTTCGCGTTGATTCGTGACGCGAATAAATCGATGGAAGGAATCCCGAATTTTTTGATGATTTTTTGAAAGGCGTAATCGCTTAGTTCCCATTCGGTGTCTAAATTGAAAATCCTAGAACCCTCGTCTGCTGGGTTTTCCTTTGAAGCCACATATTCTGCGAATATCTAGATGTCCCTGTCTATACACCATTCCCAAATAAGCTTCGCAGTCTCATTTAAGTAATGGTGTTTGGTGCCTCCCATTTTATTAATGTAGGCCAAAGCAGTGACATTGTCTATTCGAAGCAATATTTGTTTGTTAACTTTGTTGGTCGCGAAACATTTTAGGGCTAAAAAGGCTGCTTTTAATTCCAAAAAATTTATAGGCATATCGCGTTCCGAATTGTTCCAGAGGCCGTTTGCGCTCAATTCGCCACATGTTGCTCCCCAACCGATGCCGGACGCGTCGGAAAAAATCTCTAAATCGAATGAGAAAGATCGGATTTTGTTTTTTGCTACGAGGATGTGAGAGTGCCACCATTCTACTTCTCTCATTGCACCTGCTGATAAATAAATAATTTTATTTAAATTATTCGTGTGCGTTCTAAGGGCTTCGAGTTTAATCTTTTCGAGCTCTTTGTAAAAAAGCCATCCGTACGCGATTGCGGGGCATGCGGCTACCAATACTCCGATTAATTCGATTAAATTCTGTAATTTAATTTTTTTGTTTTTCAAGATAGTATGTAGAGTATTATTGATTTTAACTCTCTTGTCGTGTGGGAGCTTTATCGTCATGTCGTTCGAGTCTACGATCATGCCGAGGAATCTACAAGAATTGCTAGGAATTAGTTCACTCTTTTCCCAGTTAATTAGAAATCCTAGATACTGGAGGATCTCAATGGCTGTTTCGACATTGGCCAGGCACTCTTTGTAAGTGCGGCCGAAGATTAGGAAGTCGTCCAAATAGACGACTAGTTTGATGCCTTTCTTTCTTAACCAATTAGCGACCGGCTTGGCTATTTTGGTAAAGGTGAATGGAGCTGACGATAACCCGAATGGTAATGCTCTAAACTGGTACAATTGAGATCTATATGAGAATCTAAGGTATTTTTTGTCGCTTTCAGCCATTGGGACTAAAAGAAAAGCGTCTTTTAAATCCAGCCTACACATAAAATTCCCTTTGTCGAGTAAATTGATTGCTGTTCGCAAATCTTCGATTTTAAAATGCTCTTTTTTGATAAATTCGTTAAACTTTTTTAAATTTAATATAAATCTAAGAGAGCCGTCTGATTTGGAGGTAAGGAAAAAGGATGATAAAAATTGTCCTTCCGTGAATTTGCATTTTTCGATAGCTTTAGCGAGTAGCAATTTACCGATTGCTAAATCTAAATCCTTGCTAGGTAAAATAGGGGAAGGTTCATTTATTTGAAATACTTCATGTTCAAGGTTAATTACATAACCTTGTACTGCTGTGAGGGTAAATCGATCCTGTGTGATCGTTTCCCAATTTTTTGCGAAGTATTTTAACCTAGCGGCTGTACTTACCCCGCCTGGCGGCGACTCTGATGAGGTTGTGACTGGACGTAGCTCTTCTTCGCCGGGTACGGTCTCTGCCTGTAGTTGCCTCTGTAGGTGGTTGTCCTCGAAGAACTGCTGTTCCGGTAGCTCCCCGTCCCACCTCTTTTTTGGCGGTGGAGCTGCGCCAGTTTAAAGCGTTGTTATTAGTTTTAGGCAAAGTCTTGTTTTTCGGCTTCAGGTCCTTTGACACCTTCTCCATGGCCTTTGAACTTTCGATTACCGATTTGAGGTTATCCCCGAATAAGTAGGTCGTGGGCTCTACTTTCTTGAGTGTTTTTTGAATTCTGTCATCGTATTTGCCTAGGATGAATGATTTTCTAGCCTGAGTAAGCGAGAAAAAAAGGTGACCCAGGACTTTGACCGAATTTGATAGGTTAGACAGGATTAATTCTCTCTCAAGTGGCACGACTTTGTCGTGTAAGATGCTATCGAGCACCAACGATACGGCTGAGATTGCAGTGCCAGTTAAGTTCTGATACTCCTTGAAGAAGTTGTCTCTGGTCGCTGCCTTAGGGTGAAGGTCCACTGAGACTTCTTCATTCAGTGTATAGGCTTCGAGAGAGAGATTACCGCTTCTGGGAATGGAGGAAAGAATAGCTTCCTTTTACTCTTTGGAAGTTAAGCCGTTGAGAATCCAAGCTTTGATTCTGCCGGCTATGTCGTCGCTTAGCTGTATCTGAGCTGAAGAGGCTATGGCTGGGTCGAGGCCGAGAAAAGAAATCTGCCTCATTCATGGGAGCGTCCTCGTGTTCTGAGTCGCTGTTCAGCATTGTTTCCTCGGTATGAACCTCTGGAATTATATATAATTATTTAAGGTATTAGTCGCGCGCCGGCTCTAACCAAAAGTTTGTCTTGAGTCTGACTCAGTCTGTGCTTAGCAAGAGGTATAGTTCTGAGTCAAACTTTTTGAAGGGTACAGGTAAGTTTCACTCAGAGCGCCGCGTTCTCGCACGTGTAGAACTAAAGTTGTGATCGCGGCAACGTCGCAATCTGAATGTACCAGTGCTACTGAATGTTGG